TGTTCACACTGATATATCCGCAGTGGTTTTGTTATACTGAAGTCCACCTCTTGGAATGCCCAATTTGACTTAAATCAAGTCAGACTCTGTTTACTGGATATCCGAACCAAAGCTGTTTGCGGCTGAGTTCAGTTAATTCCTCTGTTGCGGGTGGACTATACGTCGTTTGGGCCGACTTGGAATCTAAGCAATGGATATAAAGAGCTAAAGCAAGTGAGGGATAAACCATCTTTGATCCAAATGACTGATTATGTTGACTTTAAACCCTAAGAACAATAAGTTATTCCAGCTTTGCCTACTGGCCTTCAATGTAACAACAAGGCGGTAATTTTATGAGTGTGTCTGTCAGAAATGTTATCCCATTATAATTCTGTATTGGTCACCGGTTTTCCTGGACCAAATTTGTGACTAAAACGGACAGCTGGATGAATACAGCTGACCTTTGGGTTACAACCCAATTTTTTGATATATTTCGGAAAATAACTGACCAACAGAGATGTCAAAAAATCAGTTTTTACCATATCTTATATATCATATATATATCTTACCGGGTTCATTCTAGAAGTGGCACACGGGCACAGATGTTCCTACCGGATAGGCGCTGGAATCTCTCATTTGTGTTCCTGCCCGTTATCAGGCTATCCTAGCAACTAGATTATTTGATTTATCAGTATGTGCTGAAACAGGTGGTCACTTAAAACAACCACACAATCAAATAGGGCGTAGTGACGCATAGCCGGTGTTGCGGTGCTGCGCAGGCCTGGTAACATTTTTGGACAGCAGCTGGAGTAACCACATTTCGCCTGACAAACGCATGCTAACCAAAGGCAGCGACAGACACCGGAATATTTAATGAGGCACTGGACTTTGTTCTTGCATCTTGAAAAGAACCTGAAGATGAACAGTTGACTGACAATAGTCAACTTGCGTTGCACAAATACCCAACTGGAACATGAAGGGAGTGCGAGGAACCGGTTGTACACCACATCTGAATCTCTAGCGGTTGCGTAAATCAAAGGCACAAAGGAGAGAACTGGTGGGATAAAGTACAAGTGCTTAGCATTTCAAGGAGTAAACGTTTAAGAGGCGTTAGGAAACCTTGAAGATGAGAAATACAGCTTTTATAAAACTTTTCACTACCGAATGCATCTGGTAGGGCAACTGTCCTGATAGATGGGACATAAAAAACACCTAATCACTATACTTTCTTGATAAAAGGAAGATATTGGCTTGATTTGCATTCCAAGATGTTGTCTGCAGGGGACAGCTGAATTTCAGTTACCATGAACAACGCCTAATTTTCCATTTTGTAACATATGCGAGATACTTTGTGGCCGATCAGAAAATAAAGTTAAGGGACACTCAGCGATTGAGCCGAATTGCTAAGTCCCGAGAAAGATTAAACCGATAGCGGCCTGTTGAAAGGTTTTCCACAACCTTATGAGTAGTATGTTCCGCCAAGAATATGGCTTCAGGTTAATTAGGCAGAATACTCTTATCTAACTTTGTTCATGGCATTGATTTACATCTGAAAGTCTAGACTCACTTAACATTTGCAAATTTTTCCACACAAGATAGCTGTTTACGTCTGAATCATAATGAGACTGAACGAAGTGGCTGACAAGAATGATATATTCATTTGACAGGTCGATCCTTTGAGGTTTCTCGGCTTCGAATTTCTCTCGGTGCAATTTCTACTTTTTACCACCTTAGTTTCTCCCTATGACCTAAATTATACAGGGTTCTTGGGGCCACGAACATTCTATCATAGTGTAAATTTGAACAATGTAGGTCAGAAAACGTAACCATTAGTTAGTGTAACACTTGCATTCACATTAAGTCGCTTCCCCCGTTGCACTGAAAATTAGCAACCGTTTTACTATTGATAATTTTCGTCAGCTACGCAGACGGTAAGGTTCTGATCAATACAGACCACCAAATCCGGCCGAACGAGATATTTGGCGTAATACTGGGACTACCAGATAATCAACAAGAAGCTATTCGCTAACGTGTGCTCAAAAGCTCTGGAAGGATTGTTGTTTTGGTAGGTGATCCTCCTCTGTTTCAACAAAAGATGCCTGCAATCTTTCACACTGGAGCGGCCCACCAATCGCGTCTTTTTCCAACACTCAGTAGACAGTGCTTTCGTTTTTCGACCAACAGTAACAGTAGCACGTATTTTCCAGTTGAAGACGATCGTTTGCTACTCGTGTACTCTGGAGATGTTCAGACCAACATTTTGTTCTTTTTGGGACAGTTTCAACGGAAGGATCAGTCACGGAACCGTGTTAAGTGACGGCGAGGAGAACTGGCATAGGTATCAGTGTGACAAGTATCGGTTTATTATTAGGGTGGGCACTGTATCCTAAGGCTGTAACCCTAACTCACTCAGCTGGAAGGTAGATTGACACTATTAGATACCATGCACCAAAACGTCTGAACATTTTGCCACTGGTATCCTGTGAGGATTGGATATTTTCGAATATATTAAGTACTTTGGTGCCCTTGGGTGGCAAAAGATCAATATGTCTCTATGTAACCAAATCAAGGAAGAGAATCCGAACCTCAGCATGCACTGAGAAAGCACAACTTTACAGCAGGGCTCGTTTACGCTTCTTGTTGGGTTTTCTAATGAACTTGATTACAACAACTTCATTGCAGTTTCCCTCAAGAAAGACTTTTTTCGGCATTCGTTATCTTTGATAGCTGTCATCAGTGAAGAAGCCGAAGTGGATCGTTCTCAAAATTTAGCTAATGTCCTCTCGTTCAGCAAAAACCAAATCGTTTTAGCATGGTGTGTCAACTTAGGCAACAAGAGTGGCTCTTGGAATAGCTGCTTGGAAAGGTAATCTGCTTGCCAAAAAAACTGTAAGCGGGGGTTCCGAATTTAGAATCATGTGAGTGAAAACAACCATGCTGCCTGCAGAGATAGTTGGATTTGACAATTTTAACTGAAATTATTCTTTCTCCTTCACTGGTCTTTAGCCACAAGACTTTGTGGTGAACGGTACAACCGACTTCACAAACAGCATTCTATCAGCCGGTTAAATTATGTCACAGCCTATTAAAAGTTTAATTCTCTTCACTGCAAACAAGCAATATTGTTTTCATATTTTTTACGTCTTACCGGAAATTCTTCATGTGATAGACTGCCGAAAGCTGTTTAGACCGTTGCTTTCCATCGATTCAAACATTTCTCTGAACGCATCAAAGTCTTTCATCGCTACTCACTGACTGCATAATCAAGCTCTCGTATATGTACAAATAGGATGGAACTAGATGGTCGATGAGCTACACTTGTGGTTAGCCAACAATTAGAATGTTAATTTATGCCCAAATCAAATAGAAAATAACATGAGAATATGTCAACTCGGAAACAGCCAGTTGAGTTAGGTGAAGCAACTCGAATGGGCTGATGAATAAATACGCACGACACGTGCAGTGCTCACACTAATAGTACTTCGAAAAACATAGAGAAGAGCCTAGTAGTGTCTCTAACAAGTAATACATCAGGTTCGATACCTGGTTTGGTCACAATATATTGAGGTCTTCCGATGCCCATCAGTCACATCCTCTACACCCTGACACGAAAAGATACTTATCTCCCAGAGGACGAAATTCGGTCAGAACATACTTATACAACCGGACTTTCAGCCATGGATGATTTCTGAGGTGTGTATGTGTACAATGGATGAATAAGATTATAATGAGAAAGGCCTTTCTCTCCTACAGGTTTCTAGGATAGTTTTTGGTGGTTGAGGGATTGGTTGAATCCTTTGAACTGTCGGTTATGTAGGTGTGAATAAGAATAGAGCAACACATTCAGCACCGAAGTCTCAGACCTTGGGCTGAACTTTTGCAGTTACAATTTGCCTATTCATAACCCAAGAAAGTGTAAAAATATCTGCATGCCAAAAATACGGTAGTCTGGCTGTCAGAAAATTATGATTATAAAAAGGATGTGACATATAAGGTTACGATGACGAGCAGTTATCTAGCTTTGTCGTCTACAACGTCGTTCGTGCCTACTCAGTGTGCGTGCTCTTTGGTCGTTCAACGAACAACAGTGGTGGCACCCTGTGTTTTGAATTTTTCATAGTATCGAATTACCGTGGTATTTAGGAAAGGTTCGAATGGCCCACGCAAATGCGAACAGTTCCATTGTGCACAAATCGAAAGCACGCGTGTGAACACACACGTTCCTGTAATGCCTGCCTTTCTCATCCTGTCCTCATTTAAAATTAGTCAAAAGCTAGGCACACAAATGTTGGTATGCAAGCCACGGACGTGACACTGAGCACCTAGCTGATTATTTCAACTTGAGCCAGGGAGTGAACGAGCAGGTTCGCTTGCGCAATGGAAAGTCATCCAGATCTATTCCAGAAGGATATAAACCAGTGGACATTCTCAGTCGTTGTTTTGCACACATCTGCATCTGAAATGTTTTCGAAGTAGCTAACAAATGTTTTGTAAAAGTCCATGTTTCATTAACAATCCAGTTTGCTTCAGTCTGGTTTTGGTGCTCTACACCAGGGTAAATTTCCAACTTGATTTCGAACACCGTTCAAAAGGGCTTGGTAAATAATCGGTGGTTTTTAATTGTGCAACTTTTCGCTTTTGACACAAAAGCTAGACCCGATGGAGCTTCTTTTGTGTCAAAAGCGAAAAGTTGCCCATTTAAAAACTACCGATTGTTTACTAAGCCCTTCTGAAACAATGACTTCTCAACTGGTTCCAAACTTTTCCAATGGACTGATTCGGAACACACTCATGGCATTTCTAAACTCAGTCTATTCAAGCACTAAAAATATAAGCTAACACTGGAACATGAATAAAAGGACGCATGTTGATGAAGTCAGGATAGGTTTTCTCTTAGCTGCTCCGTCCTTAATTAGCATAATGTTCTGCAGCTGCAATGGGTGAACACCTAGTCCCTTGCGCAAACAGAAGCCAACTTTTTATTCGTTCACTTTGATATTCCAGAAACTAAAAATACTCACCTGATGTTAATACATTAACTTGACGTAATCACTCCAAAATATAATCCCAACAGTCAATTTCCTGCCTCGGTAAATACCTCGCTGACCGAGTCACTGTATTGCATGGTCAGGCATGGTGGTAACTTTCAGATTACTGTAGAGAGCAGTGTCCGCGTGCGTGTGTTTGACGGCTGAGCGTGAGCCAGACATCTCAGGAGCACAATCACCCTTCTCTTCTCCGATTGGTCAGCTAGCACCTGGCAGGCGTGTGTCAGACTCATCCGGCAAGCCAAGTCATATGGGCCAAGGCGACTGAAAATAAGGCTGCAGACGCTGTGCGTCGCGTCGCAGAGTGGGTCAGGTTTCACTTGCAAGGGGCGGCTCAACATGATATCATGGGCTGTATGACTCAACTGTGTTGCCAATATGGGTCTGCAGTCATTCCAAAACTGACCAAATATGTCGTACGTTTCTGGAGTTATCAACACAGAACACTTCAAGCAGAACACATTAACTCCCAGATGAACTTGATGTACCGTCATAAGCTACCGAAAGCTAAGCATTTATGCAATATAGATAAAATGCCCTACCGTGCACACCAATCCACTTGAAAGTTTACCAGAATATCCGGACAGAGTAGATTAGCGTAGATAAGAGCAAACTCTGCACTAAAACAAAATGTGTTAATCATTATTTTACTGTTATTTGAATCTTGTTGACAGATATGCCAGTGATATTTTCCAACCTTTTTGCCTCGAAACCCCGCAGATCACTTTGCCTACTTTTAATTGGTCCGGAGACATTTTAAACTGGGGCTTCCGCATTCCTATCCTAAGGCAACAGATTTGGGATCACAGGCAAATACAGCTTTGTGCACTCGTTGTACCAGTAACACTTCCAGAACATAACCTGGGCGAAGGTAAATGCTACATGTTGGCTAGACCAAGGTTTTGACAAAATCGGAAAGAAGCCAGTTCTAGATGGTGTAAGGAGCACGAAACATCGAGTCGTGCCGCTCAAATTTCGAACAATTCTGTCTACTCATTGCAGAGTTCAAAGAATTGAATTATTAGGTCACCCAATGCGCAGGTATACGCATCAGAACCCCGAAAATTAGTGAGTAGTGTTAATTTGCTCAATCCATGACCTGAGAGGGTTTTCAGCTCATATGCGTCAAATTTAATGGACCAGTGTTCATCGCCAATGTGAGCGGGAGTATGCGTGAGAAGCGTACAAAATAGTGAGGAATTTTGAAACACGGCAAGAAAGAAACTCAGTGCATTTAAAAAGTTTCATATTTAATGGCCCTCACCCACCTTCTATACCATCTGAGGCCAGCATCGAAGCGATGTCGTCAGCATCTATACCCATGAACCATGCTTGTACAGAAGAGATCCACTTTAGTCGGGAAGTAGTGGTGTGGCAATTCTTCGTATCTTGTGAAATGAGCAAATCTGCACCACTGATCAGTTGATAGCGCACCGATGCGTACATTTATAAACCGGACAGACTTGATATCACAAATAGACAGAAAAACGGAAACCACTGAACTGAGTAAAATAAAATAAAATTACATGGCAGAAACTTGATTAGTGTAAGACTTTCTCTCCTAATCTATTTTTATCCCCAGTGAATGTGACCAAATGGTGGTGACGAATTTGAATAGGAGGGCTAAACTGCGACAATAGAAATATGATATATCACTTCTGATTAATGCGAATGAGTGTATTTGTTGCAGTCAGTCTGATTGAGGTTCAAGCAGAACACCAAGTTGACGGAAACTACCTGATGAGCCCCAAGAAGTGCGAAACCGTTCGCTCGCGGGCTATGAGTTATCAGCAACCTTGTGAGTAGTTTCCTTTATGAACAAATAAATCGGTACTCGTCCAGTTAAGCAGGATATACATAAAAAAAAGTCAATAAGAGAAGTAACATCCCCGCATATTTTGAGTCCACAAGCACAGTGTAGACTCTTGAAAGCTCAGTTAATTATTTCATCCGCATAACCGCCCGCAGCTTTCGTCCATTGTAAACGATTCAAGTTTTACCGCTATTCGCGATATTCCATTTCATTAGGCACCGTTTTTCCAATCGGTGGTGACTAGCGGCCTCGGAAATTCGCTCACTTAAACAAATTATCCGTGTAGATAATTTGTAGAAAAGTTCATCGGACATAATATTCTTCACTCCGGAGTAGATAATCTCGTAGTTTTCGAGAAAGCAATTACATTTTGTGAATACCGAGCGGTGTTTCGATGACTCCCAAATCATAACCAGGAAACAGTTGCAATCGTCAGTCCATCTCAAGCACCGTGTCCCAAATATATCTAACGAGGGAATCGGCTGCAGAGCAGTACTAATCATATGAAGATTTGTCAGGCATAGCTACGTTAGACGATGGAGACGGAATTCCGTTCGCTTATCCAGTCCACTCTGCTGATTCACACACCGCAGAGTTTTACTGCCTTCATTCATTTTCTTCTCTCTAAACAATGTGACGCTTCGTGGCATTCACGCCGCATGTGAAATTTGGATGGGAGTTGTAAAGTTCTACTTCAAGTGAGTCCCTCGAATCAAGAAATCGAACTTTCCACACTCTTTTCAACTCAACACCATTCATCAACTTCACCCAACGAAATCCAATGACAAACATGGGGCTGGCATTATCGAACAGTGTACGTACAATGCCCAACGTAGTAAAATGCGCTTTCAGCGTCCAACTAAACATCTTGAAAAATATCTAAGTGGGAACATTGCGAATCGGGCGCGTAGCGTGTGCACAGGAGTACAGAAGCTACCCCTGTAGTGCAGCAGATAGACCCCATAACGGGCTTTCGTCATATCACCTCGCATACCATTATTCAGAGTTCTCAAAACCTAGCACCGTGAAGCCGGGGATGATTAACACGTATCAATTTCCACAAAAATGTAAAGCCTAGTAGAAAATTTTCAAGAATCTTGCTTTGAGGTGGACAGCACACATTTTTTGTAGATGCTATTTAATGCACCAAAATATAAAGGAAATTGTGGGCGTCTGATAATCGCAGATGGATACTGATGGTTCTGAACGGTGGAGTTTTCGTGGCCCAAGGCACCACAACCGACGTTGCAGGTGAAAGGTAAACAAGGACTTTTGGTATTGTTCACTTTGGGCCAATCGCCCAACTGATTGATGCAGGATTTTAATGACTGACTAACATCTGAATCAGACAAAAATAAAGTTTTTGGATCATATGACATACCGAGCAAATATCTTTGCAGCTTACTGATATAGAGCCCGGCATAGGAAATGCTCCCGGAAATTGTGGTAAACTCGAAACCTGATGAGGATCTGGGGGATGTGGAATCTCTGGAACCGATTGCCAGTTCTGTTTATATGGTTGCCGAATGCTGTTCAACAGCCTACCACTGATTCTGCCCTTATTGAGACCCATTTGTAAGGCGTACGCCTCTGAGTTTCTATACAGCTCATCCTATTTGAACACGACGTTTTAAGTGAATAGAGTTATGCACTAATTTGAGAGCTAGGATGATGTTTATGGACAACTTTTCTGAGTATCGTCTCAGTCTTGTGCGTTTCGCTAAGTCAAGCTATTGGTTTTCCCTTTGTAGTCCTTTGGCACCATAACTCCATTAGGAACTACGATGTAATTTAATTAATTGCTTTATATGATATCTCTCAGTGCAGTCTGTGTGTAGTTTACACGCATTTTCATTTGACTACCACCGTACAGATCAGGTTTATCATTGACTATCACTCGGTACCCAAATGAGTGTCGATTCCTGTCACATAAATGTTGCGGACCACTAATGTACTCCATACATACACTATGGATTTCGAATTTCATGTTGCCCCTCTGAAAATTGTGAACAACACGTGACGTAAGAACTGTTGGCAATGTTGTGGAATATGGGTAGCTCGGGTGCGTTGACTGGTTGACCCACTCAACCCTGCACTGACGATGTCAACTCGACTGGTGATGAAAGGTTTGAAATACAACTGCCGAGCTCGGCGAACAGACAAAAAAACAATAAGAACTATCCTTCATTATTTATCATCCGATCTTTTTAGGCTATAGTTTGGTTACCTAGTGTTTGATAGGCTTTATACGCGGCTAAGAGCGACGCAAACATTTCATTACCCACTGATCCTTTTGGATCCATTGGTGTAGTTCGATGGATCAGGAAGCGGGTGCCAGTCCGCCAAATGACGATGGCTGATTACTTCACTCTTGGATTTTCAGTACGTTGTCAGTTGTTATCATCTTTGACATTTTGGCATTTTTAGGCAATAGCTGAAGGTTCGGAGTTCATATTCGGATTTAGTATCGCAAGTGATTTCCTCTAAATCCGCTGACCAAGTGCACTGAAATGTTGACATTTGCTGCTGGGGTGAAAATAGTACACCGAAGATGAAAGCCCTTTTCGCCAGCCCCTACTAATGCGATACCAGTAGTTCTCTATAAGGAAATAAATCATTTAAGGCAATGCCTATAATATCAACGAACAGGCGGAAGATGAAACTCCCGTTCGGATTCCTGATGCACGTAGACCCTCTGCAAATAAATACGCTGCGGCAGTGGAGCGGAAATATTAGTTGGCTAAACGGGCTTATTCAAATAATCCAACATGCCAGCGAAAAGTTACTTTCTCAATCTGGTGACACCCAGGAGCAACTGATGTGCTCAATGACTGTACAAGACCCATCAATCAAATTAAGCGGTAAGACAAACCTAGGAAAATCTCCATGCGCACGACGATCACATTTCCCCATCCGAATGAGTTGACTGCAATTGTTCGGACACTAATTACCCTGAAACCGAAATCCATCTGAGACAACTGTCCCCAGAACAATGTACAATAAAACAGTGCGGCTTTTTCGAATAGATATATGCTTTATGTTGCTGAAACATGTTTGAATAAACTTGCGGGGACTGTAATGCGATAGGGGATGTCCACGAAACCGACTTGACTTTGGTCATAAACCGGCAAGTGCGATGACGTAAGTGAGCTCTAAAATGTTCAGTCTCGAGTCGTTTTTTTCCGAAATCAAATTCGCCCCGTCAAGCCGGTTCCGGTGATTGGAAAATAAAGTGATATCTCAAAGGAGCCATTTTTTATTCAATGAAATATTCGCT